GCGCACAGGCGGCGCCCCCCCCCCCCTGCCGCGGGCAGCGGCGGCCGGGGCCGTGAGCCACCACCATCGGGGTGCGCGGCACGGCCCATTTCCCCCTATTGTCAGCCTCCCCCTCGGCAAACACATCCCCCTGCGCACCTGGGCTGGGAGGAGGCACTGACGCCACAGCCGCCAGGAGCGAGGGATGTGCTGCCGCCGGCATCTCTCGGAGTTGGAGCCGCCGCGGCATGGCTCTGGGGAGCCCTTCAGGGCCCGGGTGCCCAGGCAGGTTGGTTGCAGGTCGTTTCCTTCAGGAGCAATGCTGACCAGGGGGCACTGGTGCAGCCCTGCTTGCCTGCAAGGACACTGGAGAGCCCCGTGTTTCCTGGAAGAAATCAGCAGCAATCTCATGGCAGAGAGGCCTGGGTTTCCCTGTGCAGAGAAGCTGGTGCCGGGGAAGCACCTGCCAGACCATGCCCATCCCCGTTCCCACTCTCACACACAGGTACATGCAGCTCCAACCAGCCAGTCTCCAGCCCTCCGCCTCTTGCCTTCCATCCCTGCTGTGGAGACACAACCTGCAGAAGGCTGAGCTGGTTTATCTCAGTGTTAGCCATGAACTGAGTCCTCCACGCTCAGCGATAGGGGAGCTTAGGAGAGTCTAAGAGCTGGATCACAGGGCCAGGGAAAGCAATCGGACGAAACACCAAGGTGAAACATGGGCACTCTGGGATGAAGGGCAGGCACAAGGAGCCCAGTGCCTTGCATCTTCATGCTGCTTTGACCTTGGGAGTCCCATCACAGCGCAGGACGTAGGTAGCTGCTGGGGGGACTCTTGCCCACTGGGCAGGAGCAGCAGCAGCAGCCCAAGGGGGTGGCTGTGCCAGGTGCTGGAGCACGGCGGGTTTGGCACTTCCCCCAGCAGAAGCCTCCAGCCCTGATCAAACTGACTCCGGTGTCCTAAATAGCAGCAGTACTAAAATAATGCCCTGAGGATTTCAGGGGTGTTCTCCAAGGGCTTCAGGGGTGATGCAGGAGGTCCTGGTTGGTTACAGTTGGCTTAAGAGCGATGCAGGGACGAGTTTTTGTTGGGTTCTTTTCATCTGAGATGCTGAAGGTGGGATTTTGCAGGGCAGAAGATACCAGTGAGGGGATTTTGATGCTCAAATGGGGCTGGGTTATGGAAAAGGGGACTTAGAGGGACCTCGCCTGCAGTGAGCAGGGTGAGGTTTCATGGGGGAGAGTGGCTGCCTGCACTGGGCTCCTTCAGTGCTCATGGGCAGCCCGGGCCCCTGCTCTTGCCCCTGACCCAGAAGGTGTCAGAGGCACGGAGGTGAGCCCTTTCCCCAGCAGGGCTGTGCTGCGGTGTGCTTGCAGCGGGGTGCCGGGGCTGCCTGTCCCTGCCGGACTGGCAGGGCTCACCTGCAACAGGGATGCACCATCATTCCCCACCCGCCTCCCTCCCCAGGGCTTCAAGCGGGGCAGGGGGCTGGCACAGGCGGGAGGTGGCATATTCGAGGCGATGCTCCCAGCCCGCAGCCACTGCATGGGGCTCACTGTGGGGGAGGCATCTCCCCTTTAAGGAAATGTCTCTATTTGCCTTATGTCCCTGGCCGGTCCCTTGAGCTTCCTCTGTCCCTTGTTCCCAAAGTGCGTAGCTCTGCTCCCCAGGGTCCGGTGAGAGGCGGTGCGAGGGACACGCCTGTGCATTTATAGCATTGACCTCCAGCCCTGTCCTGCAGCTGGGGAAGGGTAAGCTCGGCCCCCAGGGAAGGAGGACAGCAGAGGGGAAAGCGAGCGGCCGCGGCCCCAGCCAGCTGGATGTTTCTCCCATTTGCAGGAGGATGTTGCTGGTCACAGGTTACCAGTGTCCAAATATTGTTTCTCTGCTCCTGTCTCTGCTCCGTGCTGCCTAGAAAGGGGATGCTCATCCCAGGAATGTAAACTCTGCCCAAGGCCTCTGAGGAAATAGCTTCAGACCAGTAACAGGATTGCACTCGGCAATTAAGGGCTGGTCTCCCCAGCCACACGGCTCCGAGGGGAGAGCCCTTTGCTCCAGCGCCAGAGGCTGGCCTTGTGTCTGAGAGGTGGCCCCGAGGGACCTTCCTGCAAGGACAGGCGTGAGGCCCCATGTGGTCACGGTCTCTGCAATAACAGGATTCTGTCTGTCCAGTGAGTTGGCAGCAGCTGCTGCTCAGTGCGGCCTCTGGTCTGGGCTCTCAGGTGGGAGGAAACGCTCCATTTGCCCCCCATCTCAAAACCATCCCTAGGGTGGTGGTGGGGGGTCCCCTTGGCCCAGAAGGGTCTGTGGGGTGGCAGAGGGAGAGCACAGGCATGCTCCAGCCATCGCAGTGGGGACATTACCTGCTCCTTGCTGCCCAGCCAGGGGCAAGAGCGTGAACAGGCACCGATCGCTGCCGCGGCAGCCCCCGGCAGCCGCCGCGCTGTGCCGCTGAGTGATGAACTGCAGCGCACCCAGCCCCCCGGCGGGGCCAGGGTTTCTGTGCGCTTATCTCTGCAGCATCTCCTTGCTAATTTGCCAGGCCCCGCTCCAGCAGCTTTCTCACACGCTCAGCGGTACCAATGCCTGGAAGCTTCAGCCAGACCCCAGCTCCCACTGACGCCTGAGCCGCTGCCACCTGCATGTCCCGGCGGGGCTGGGGACAGGCGGCTGGCGTGTCCCACATCCCCTGGGGACAGACCCCACGGGGCTGGGGACAAGGCACTGGCTCACGCCGCAGGGACGGACCTCACACAGAGGTGGGCAGGCAAGTCCTGGAGCAGCCTCCCCGCTCTCCCAGGAGGACAGAAACGTGAATCCTGGCAGGGACACAGAGCCCGTTATTTCCCTGGGACCTGTGGCCCACAGGGGATCGTGTTGCCTGCTGGCATCTCGTCCCTTCCCACCTCCCATAGCTCCAGCTTCCCTGGCCGCTGGGGCTTAAAAATAGAACAGAAAAGGCCACAGAACTCCTTTGGGTTTACCCTTGGCAGCAGGATTTGGCCCCAGACCTGCTCCAGGGAACCGCTGTGCCCCCTTCCCTCCCAAGCTGGAGGGACCCCCCATGGCGGACAGGACCGGGATGCTGTCCCTGGAGCTGAGGGGGCTGGAAACCCCCTGCCAGGGCTCCGATGGCAGGAGCTGGCTGGGCAGGCAGGGACAGCTTGGGGGGAGAGGGGTGGGTGGACGAGCATGGGGTGCCTGGATGGGGATGGGGGGCGTGGATGAGCATGGGGTGCCTGGGTGGGGACGGGGCAACAGCAGGGGAGCGGGGTGGGCGGATGGGAAAGGGGCTGCTGGGTGGGCACAGGGCAGCCGGGTGGGCACGGGGTGGCCGGACGGGCGCAGAGCAGTGCACACCGACCCTGGGAGAAGGGGGCAGGACCCGGGGGAGCCCAGCAAGCCGAGGAGCCCCGA